AGAGATTTCACACATTTAATCTATAGGACCGGCAAGAGACTGAACACAGAAAGAGAGGGGAGGGGCCGGGTGTGGTGGCTCACGCCTGTAATCCCAGCACTTTGGGAGGCTGAGGCGGGTGGATCACCTGAGGTCAGGAGTTCGAGGCCAGCCTGGCCAACATGGTGAAACCCCATCTCTTCTAAAAATACAAAAATTAGACAGGTGTGGTGGTGGGTGCCTGTAGTCCCAGCTACTCCAGAGGCTGAGGCAGAATTGCTTGAACCCGGGAGGCAGAGACTGTAGGGAGCCAAGATAGCACCACTGCACTCCAGCCTTGGCAACAGAGTGAGACTCTGTCTCAAAAAGAAGGGAGAGGAGAGAAGAGGGGAAGGGAGAGGAGGGGAGGAAGAGAGATGAGGGTCAGAGGTAACTCCAAGGCCTTGAGGATTATAGTGGTGGCACCAAGAACAGAAACAGGAAAGCCAACTAAAGGAGAGTGGGGGAAGCACCAAGTCTGATTTTAACCTTCACATTCGGCTCGCTGCACTGCTCCTGCCACTCTACCTCACCCCTTATCTGCACTCTGACTGGGGAAGTCTCTGTGCCCTTCTCATCCAGTAAAATTGCAAGAAAGAATCTAAAAATTAATTCACACCAAGGTATCAACAGTAACCCTTCTTAAAGGTTATTTGCATTTTAAGAGAGGCTCCCAAAAATGAACAACCACGAAGTTTGGAGAGTCGACAAACCTAAGTGAGGTATGGGGTGGAGAAAGCATGTCCTTTAACATTATTATCACTACCCAGTTCACCTCCTGCCTGCTACAATTTGGCTGCAATCTGTCACTCTGCCCTAGATTTTGACATTAGTGTTGGGTTTAACAATCCCTTTCTTATCTAAATGCTGGATACTGTTCAATACTAGAGGTAAACACACACAACTGTTTTCATTGGCTGTTTACAAGATATGAAACCTTACCACAGAAGAGCAGGGTTGGGAAGGTCCATGATATATCAGCCTCTGCCATCTTTCAGACTGTTCGTCTCTCATGATACTAGAAATTCCAAGGGTAAATTTGGCAGCCTTGCCCAGTGATCACTTTCAGTTTCTTCAAACTCTTACCTTCCACCTCAAATTAAACGCACCTCCTTTCCCCATAGCAGAGACATAACATAGAAAGTTCTTATGGCCCTCAGAACAACTTTTCACAACTGTTATAATGTAAAAATAAATCATCCTTTCATTTTTTTTTCCATCCTGGGTTATTTGTTCAACCAAAATTTATGAAGTCACCCTGTGCTATGCTGCAGAGGTAAGGGAATGGGTGTGGAAGGGGAGGAGAAGGGCAACAATCAGAACTCACACAATTCCTATCTTCAAATTGTCCTCAGTTCATCTTCATTCACAAGACCTAATCCCCACATCTGTGGATCATCTTTGTAGCTCTGGCCCTTTTAAACCTCCAGCAAGCCTCCCTAGGTTTAAGATGTGGAACTCTACTGCCAGTGGTCCAAATTTCCAAAAAGATCTGACCCACATGGAATCTAAGTGCATTGCCTCAATGATTCCCATAGGAGTTATCCCCAACCACGCACATCTTCGTAAGTGTGTGCACTGTAGTATGTGGCCATGCAAGGGTGAATAAATAGGAGACGTTGTTTTAATAGTGGTGCTGAATCATTCAGCAGAATTACTCAGAACTTCATGTCATTTTCTGTCACATATTCACGGTGTATGCACTTATTCACTGCACCCTGCCAAATACTACACAAAATGAATTAAAAAGAAATTCATCACGGTGCAGCCACTGTGTAGAATAGTATGGCAGTTCTTAAAACAATTAAACATAGAATGACTTGATATATCCCCAAAAGTAATGAAAGCAAGGATTCAAACAGATACTTGTTTGTTCACAGCAGCCATGTTCACAGCAGCATTGTTCACAATAGTCAAAAGATAGAAACAATCCAAGTATCCATGGACAGATGAATGGATAAACCAAGTGTGGTAGGCACACTTACACACATGCTGGAATAGTATACAGCCTTAAAAAGGAAGGACATTCTGACATTTATACAACATGAATGAACCTTGAAAATATTACGCTACATGAAATAAACCAGTCATAAAAAGATAAGTATTATATGATTCCACTTATATAAGGTATGTAGAGTCATTAAATTCATAGAGACAAAAAGTAGAAGGGTGGTTGCCAGGGACTTGGGGGAGGGAGGAATGCAGAATTATTGTTTAATGGATATGAAGTTTCAGTTTGGGAAGATGAAAAAGTTCTGCAAATGGCTGGCAGTAAAAGTTGTAATATGAAAAGTACTTAGTGACACTGAACTGTACACTTAAAAATGGATAAGATGGCAACTTATGTATCTTTTATCACAATTTAAAAAAATATTGTTAAAGCATTTAAGGATATAATAGAATAAAACTTCCCTGAAATAAAGAAATATAAAGCCAGGCATGGGGACTCACACCTATATCCCAGAACTTCGGGAGTCCAAGGTGGGAAGATCCCTTGAGGCCAGGAGTTTGAGACCAGTCTTGGTAACATAGCAAGACCCCATTTCTACAATAAAAAAGAAAAAAGAACCAAGAAGCTTGGCATGGTGGCATGCACCTGTAGTAGTCCCAGTTACTGATGAGGCTGAGGCAGGAGGATCACTTGAGCCCAGAAGGTAGAGGACACAGTGAGCTATGATCATGCCAGTGCACTCTAGCCTGGGTAACAGAGCAAAACTCTGTCTCAAAAAAAAAAAGCAAATCTTTGTGTGGCTGAGGCAGGTGGATCACTTGAGGTCAGGAGTTCAAGACCAGCCTGGCAAACATGGTGAAACTCCATCTCTACTAAAAATACAAAAATTAGTCAGGTGTGGTGGCACGTGCCTGTAGTCCCAGCTACTCAGGAGGTTGAGGCATGAGAATCACTTGAACCCGGGAGGCGGAGTTTGCAGTGAGCCGAGATGGGGCTACTGCACTCCAACCATGGGTGACAGAGGGAGATTCTGTATCAAAAAAAAAAAGAAAGGAGACAGAGAGAGGAAAAAGAAGAGGAGGAGAAGGAGAAGAAGGAGAAGGAGAAAAAGGAGGAGAAGAAGGAGAAGGAGAAAAAGGAGGAGGAGGAGGAGGAGAAAAGAGAAAAGAAAAGAAACTAAAAATGTTGTTCCTCCTCTGGAAACCAGTACTTTTAAAATCCATGAAAAATGAGGAGGTAGACACAAAGCAAGACACAAAAAGACAACAAACCACAGAAAAATCTTTTGACCTCAGTTGAATAAGTACATGCAGAGCATTTACAAAGGCATGTCTCAACCTTTCTTTCAGTATTAGACCCGCTATGGAGTCTTTTTAGACATCTTTTTCCTAATCATCCCCTGATGAAAGTTTAACACCACAGATATACTGTATATCTATTATGTACTATGCTCCCTTTCGGGGTCACAAACCATTGTAATAGCTAAGATTTTTCCCTGAAGAACCGATTTTTACCCTCTTGGAGATAATATCACCCTCTCTGAGAATGCATGATTTATAGTATCAGACCCTCTACAGATTCACAGTAGTAGGCTGTCTAGCAAACTTGACTGAAACAATCAGAGGACTGGGGATGCATATAAACTACTCAATGCTAAAATGTATCCAAAAGTCTTCTACCAATATTAAAAGTGCCTGCATGTTGCTAAATATCTGAACAAACAGTGAAAAAATCATTTTTAATGTCTCCAAATATCTGGAGGTTGGCATTTTATAGATATAACATCTAGGTAATTAACAGTATTTTGATAAGTTTAATTCAGATATTTGGTATCATATATACAGAACGTAGCATTGTGATTATTATTTAATATAACCATGAAAGAATTCACCATTTGTCGTGGTGAAGTCTATGAAAAAGACACATGCACCTGTATGTACATTGCAGCACTTATTCACAATAGCAAAGACATGGAATCAACCTAGATGCCCATCAACAGTGGACTAGATAAAGGAAATGTGGTACATATACACTGTGGAAATCTACACAGCCATAAAAAAGAATAGAATCATGTCCTTCGCAGCAACATGAATGCAGCTGGAGGCCATTATCCCAAGTGAATTAACACAGGAACAGAAAACCAAATACCACATATTCTCATTTATAAGTGGGAGCTAAACATTGGATACTCAAGGACATAAAGATGGCAACAAAGACACTGAGGACTGCTAGAGGCGGGAGGGAGGGAGGGAGGCAAGCAAGGGTTGAAAAACCACTATGATCAGGGCCTGGGTGATGGGATCAGTTGTACCCCAAACCTCAACATCACGCAATATACCCAGGTAACAAACCTACACATGCACCTCCTGAATCTAAAATAAAAGTTGAAGTTATGAAAATAAATAAATAAAATAAAGCTAATTACAGCTACCTAAAATGCTGTAGGGCTAAATGAGATCTTGCTGGTAAGCTCCCAAAACAAGTGTTTAATAAGTGTTCATTCCCAATCCACTAACTCCATCAGTGGCAGTAAATATTTTCATTCACTATGTTCGAAAGGAAGGTATTTTACTTCACAGATAATCCCAAATTAAAGGAACAGAAAGTGCTTTAATCAGAAACCACAAATGCTAGCTTTAAGGAGCCTCTTCACCAAAACTATGAGGGGGCATGATGCTCTCCAAGCCTGTTAAAGATTACTTAACCCTGAAACTGTCAGTAATCAGGGAGCTGATTTCCCCTCTTAGATGTATTCGTATGTCCTCCTGCTATGGAAAATAGCAGAAATTCAACAAATTGGTTTTAAAAAATACTACTAAGCCACACACACATACACAAAAAAAAATCTTAGTTCTCATGAAATCACAGTAAAATGCCTATAAGTAAAATTCAGAGTAATTTTGCAGCAACTTCAAAAAAACGGCTAATTTAAGAAAAGAATCTTAGAAAAATCCCGCCACCCTCTTTGACATCAGCCAGGGGCTAGGTAACACCTGGATGCTACTCATTTAGAAATATCAGCCCTTCTCACCCTCGGGAGTTCAGCATCAGGCCAAGAAAGCCAAAAGGTGAAGTTCAGCCAGGGCCCTCGAGATCTTCCTGTTAACCTGGGAGAAAAAATCAAGAGGCCTCCAGTTCAGTGTCAGCTATGAGGCAAAAGAAAATGGTGTTTTCAGAAGCAATTCATTGTTGGTCTCAGAACAATTAGAAAATCTTTCCCCTCAGTAATGCTTTCCATGGCTTTGTAGCTTCTGAAAGGGTTTCTTTTGCTCTCTGAGAGCAGGGTCTGTTTCAAGGCAAGAAAAGAGAAGGGTTTGCTTCCTTTTCCTCAGTGAGGAAAAGTCTGTATCTGAACAGCGGGATTATGCTGACCTCGGTCATCACCTCCACACTGGAAAGGATGCTGCCAAACGTTTCCCGTCATCTGCGCTGTGCACTGATGTCATGTGCTAACTCCTCTCAGACTGACTCTTCTGCCACCGCGGTGCTCCACGCCTGTACCCTCCCTAGCTGTGTCTTTGACCTCAGCAGGATGATGTTAGAAAGACGGTGGGGAGGGGTGGTAGACTATACATTGTATTTTGAAGCCAAATAAAAAGACTGCAGGGTTATCTGCATGTTTAGATGATCTGTGTGGCTGATGCCCTGCTCCATCTGGGATTATGTGGGGTGGTGAATGAGACTTGGAAACTTTTCTCTCCTTTTATTGTTTAAACAACCCACTGTCTAACAGAAGCAAAAAAATATTCCACCCAGCCAAATATTTCTTTAGATGTCAGATTTCAATAGAGGGAATATATATGACCAAATGCTTAAAATTTATGAGTGTCATCCTCTTTGGACAGCACCTTCAGCCACTACAGCAAATTCACTAATCCCAATGAAGAGAATCTCTAATCCATTCTATTTAGAAACGTGCTTTTATTCAAACAAACCCCTTAACAAATACAGATTATCATGAATCTGGGGGTCCAGTCAAATCATCAAATTTCAGGTTTTCCTCATTCATAAAATGGCTATTCATACATTTTACTTTTACAGAAGTAATGTAAGAATGAATGAGGGCATGCTATCCAGTACTTCAATTTACTCTATTTTCCCATAAAGATATGGTTTCATGTCTACGCTTGGTGGGAAAGTACACCTCTAAACCCACACATCAAATCTCCCGGGAGGCTTCTGCCTCCGGATATCATAGTTCTAGGTCACTGACAGAAGATACAGTGTTACATTAGATTTATGATACTTCATCACCCATTCTATCGATCTCCTCCATTAGTATCTTAGTCCTTCCTGGGCCTTTAAAACAAACAGACATGATTCTTGCTATTACTAAACTACAAAAACATCCCTGATGTTCTTTTTCCAAAAAAACTATCCCCCAATATTTTGCCCCAAAGCAAGTATGGCTACTCAAACACAAGAGAGTGACTCCAAAGTTAAGAATCTGACTATGGGAATAGGAAAGAAAAAGAAAAAAAAAAAAAATCTTAGCATTTAAGATATTTTAATAAAACATCAAATAATAAAAATATACCTTTGTGTTTGAAGAGTCAAGTCAAACAAATACGTAAGAGGAAATCAATTGTTTCCAGCTCTAATCAGCGATAATAACCCAAGTACGTGACAGCATGAGAAAGACGATCGGTTTCCTTTTGAGGTTACATGATAAGCAGCAGCTAACAGCCTTTTTCTCTAAGAACTCGCCATCTGACCTCGTGGCAAGAGGAAGCTCGCCCCTCGCACTGGCGCCCTTTATAGCGTTCGCTTTCAGTTCACCACTCGAGTGAGGACGGGGGCGGGGGAAGCTAAGAGCCTGTTTTCTAAAATACAGAATACGGTCATCCTCTCGTTCGAACTGGGTTGCGTGGGCACTGAGAACGGCCAGAGGAGGCAGGGAGGGGGTAGCGAGGACTAGGTTTGTGGATTTTTTTCTGCATACTGGAAATTCCCAGGCCAAAAAGGTACCGACCCGAGTCCCGGACATTCCCCTCGAGGGCCGGCTCCAAGACCTGGACTGGAGCCGCAGGGAGGAATCAGAGGCAACATCTTCAAAACTTTTTCCTTAAAGATGTCCTTTTAAAATGTTCTAGTGAATCTCCTGATGGGCGTTAGAGTTGCCTCTCATCAGATTCACTTCATCTTATTTTACTTTTTCTGTGTGGCCCCTAACCGTGGGGGTGCAGTGGGCGGGTGGAGGGAGTTACCTTTTACAATACAGCTTTTACAATATGGCAATCAAAAAGTAGTATCGCTATCATGTGCCTTCATTGACTAATTAAAGGACAAGGAATCTGTGGCATAAATAAAGCAATGGTCCTGTAACAGGAAGATCACTTTATTTTCAAGGCGTAAGGGGAATGGTAATGGGGTAGATTTAACAGCAAATGAACCACTGCACAACACTGAAAGGGTTTCTCCTATGATATTTAGTTTCACTTCTTTTCCATTTAGGACACCAGCTGCTGTAATCTCGGTACTACTTTTTTTAACGTTATCTTCCCCAAGCAGTGTTACAATCCAGTTGGAATGGGCATTAGATGTACACATCATTAGACTCTTAAAACTAAAAGAGGACCAATAGCCTCTCATTTAACCAGAATATTAAAAAAGAAAATATATGTACACACATATAAATATATTTAAGTTCACACTTTATTTTTTATTTATTTATATATTTATTTATTTATTGAGACAGTTTCACTCTTGTTGCCCAGGCTAGGGTGCAATGGCATGATCTCGGCTCATTGCAACCTCCACCTCCCAGGTTCAAGCAATTCTCCTGCCTCAGCCTCCTGAGTAGCTGGGATGACAGGCATGTGCCACCATGCCCGGCTAATTTTGTATTTTTAGTAGAGACGGGGTTTCACCATGTTGGTCAGGTTGATCTTGAACTCTTGACCTCAGGTGATCCACTCACCTCGGCCTCCCAAAGTGCTGGGATTACAGGCATGAGCCACCGCGCCTAGACCACACTTTTTTAAAAAGTTAAAATATAAAAGCACTTTTAAGAGACAAGTTAGACTGAAGGTGGTGGAGTACAGTGCTCTCCTAGCTTCTGTCCTTTAAACTGCTGCCCTTAATCATCCTCTTATCTTCCACCACCTCCACTCCCCTAGGATTCCCAGGTCCCCTTAGCACTCAAGGGGCTGTGGTCTCACCTTCAAAAGAAAAACAACTTCAAAATTTTATTTATTTGCACACTGAGGTGTCAAGAATCCTAAGTACACTAATACTACATTGTAGACATAAACCAGGTAGAATAATGCTTAACACAAGAAAATAAATACACTTAAAGTGGAATTTCTGGCATTAGTGACTAGCTGAGGTTAAAAAGCTGAATTTACCCAGAACCCACAGAGATAATGCTGAGCAGTTTTTTAGAAAGTTGGGGAGGCTTATTTCTGTCATTTCCCTTGGGTGTTTATTTCCCTGTACCTCTCTCAGTGATCACTATTTCCCTGAACAGGGTCCAGAAACAGACTCATTTCTGGCATGTAACACATGAATATGTAAAGGCTTACCATATTTATTCTTGTCAAGTACCCTGATTTACCAATCTGCAAACTAAGTTTTCAGATTGATAAATGTGAAACTGGATTCAGTTATTAAACTGGATCAACTTTCAATCTGAAACTTAATAATTGAATCCAGGAAGTGTCAGTTAAGTGGTCTTAATTAAAATGATAGTTATTCAGAATGGCAAAATGAATCATACTGGAACACCAAAGGTCAGTTTTACATTCACTAAAGAAAGGTGACTTTTGGTAGGATAATTCTATAAAATGTAATTTGCATAGAAAGGCTTTATTATGGGTTCTATCACAAATAGCATCAAATCAATCATCTCAGTTCTGAAACATGAGACTCACTACATTAAATTGTCATTCCAAAATAGAAATTCGTATTTTAAACCACTGAAATTGATATAAACCACTGCTTTTTATTTTATTTATTTTTTTTTGAGACGGAGTCTTGCTCTGTTGCCCAGGCTGGAGTGCAGTGGTGCGATCTCGGCTCACTGCAACCTCCGCCCCTCCAGGGTTAAGCAATTCTCTGCCTCAGCCTCCGGAGTAGCTGGGATTACAGGCACCTGCCACCACGCCTGGCTAATTTTTTTGTATTTTTAGTAGAGACGGGGTTTCATCATCTTGGCCAGGCTGGTCTTGAACTCCTAACCTCGTGATCCACCTGCCTCGGCCTCCCAAAGTGCTGGGATTACAGGCGTGAGCCACCATGCCCGGCCCACTGCTTTAATATTGTAAACCTAAATGTCTAACCATAATAACCAACTTATCTAATAATGAAAACTGCAGTAGCAGTACTATTAAGTAGATCTTTATAATTAACTTATGAAGACTGTTTAACATAGAAAAATATTTATATGTAAAAAACACAGACCCAAATTACATATTCTCTATAACTATATGGTTAAAAAATCTGCAAGAAAATATACCTAAATGCTAATGTTCATTGCATTCAGATGATAGAATTATGGATTTTATCCATACATTTTTCTTCTAGATTTTATAGTTTTTAAAAATTATGGTGTCCCTTATATTTATACTGGGAAATATATATTTAAAACAAACTATTATTTGGCTACCATGCTAATATTCACAACCATATGGCACTAGCCTAAAATAAACTTTTCAGAAGAAACTATTCTATCTAACTATTCTGGGAAATGTTTAAGTGGTATAGTAATCCCTATCAAAATTTCCACACCAGAGTGAAGAAAGACAAATCAGATGTGGGATGAAAGTTGTTCTCACTGATACGTGAGAGCTAAATGATGAGAACACATGGTCACATAAAGGGGAACAACACAAACTGGGGTCTATTGGAGAGTGGAGGGTAGGAGGAGGGAGAGGATCAGGAAAAATTACTAATGGGTACTAGGCTTAACACCTGCGTGATGAAATCATCTGTACAACAAACCCCCATGACATAAGTTTACCTTGAAACACACTGGCACATGTACCCCTGAACTTAAAAGTTGTTAAAAAAAATTTTTTTTAAAGAGAGATGAAAGTGACTGAGAATACCTCAAGAAGCTGTGTCACCAAATCTTTAAGAACTATGTCACCAAATCAAAAAATAACAGAAACTAGACAAGATCATAAGAAAGCATTTGCACAATCAAGTGGCAGCATTCCAAACCACTGGAGGAGTAATGCCCTCTTTCTTTTTAAAATTCTCCTGGGAAAATTACTGCTCAGCCTCCTTTACAAATCCTTGAAGAAATGTCTAGAAGTTCTTTCATGAAAAGAAAAACTCTGGGCTGGGCACAGTGGCTCACACCTGTAATCCCAGCACTTTGGGAAGCCGAGGTAGGCAGATGGCTTGAGCTCAGGAGTTTAAGACCAGCCTGGACAACATGGCAAAACCTAGTCTCTACAAAAAGATACAAAAATTAGCTGGGCATGGTGGTACATACCTGTAGTCCCAGCTACTCAGGAGGCTGAGGTAGAAGAATCGCTTGACCCCAGGAAGTCAAGGTTGCAGTGAGCCATATCATGCCACTGCACTCCAACCTGGGCAAAAGAGCAAGACTCTGTCTCAAAAACAAATAAATAAATACAAACCCTTCTTTATGAAAGTCTCACAATTTTAGCTGAAAAGGGATATGGACTTTTTTCAAATACCTTATTTCAAATCGAAACTTGAGTTCCTCATCTATAAAATGGAGCTAATATTACCTATACTACTGGATCATGAACAGAATTAAACCAGTTATTGGTAAATCCCCTGAAATAATAAACAAGCCATGTTTACTCCCTCATTCTAGCTTACCTCTTCCCTTAGTGTTTCTTCAAGTGTGGAATACACCATTGCATCAGAATCACTAAGCAGTTGCCACAAAGGTTGGTTCCATAAATCCCAGAGGCATCATGGCCCCTCTTTTTTTTTGTTTTTTTTTTTTCTTTTTTTCTAGAGACAGGGTGGTCTTGCCCTGTTGCCCAGACTGGAGTACAGTGGCATAATCAAGGCTCACTGCAACCTCTGCCACCTTCTGCCTCCTGGGCTCAGGCGATCCTCCCACCTCAGCCCCCTAAGTAGCTGGGACTACAGGTGGGTGCCATCACACCCAGCTAGTTTTTGTATTTTTTGGCAGAGATGGGGTTTCACCATGGTACTCAGGCTCAAGCCCCTTTCGGCCTCAAGCAACCCGCCCTCCTCAGCCGCCCAAGACTGTAATCCCTGCTGGGATTACAGGTGGGAGCCACCATGCCTGGCCTTAATTCTTTTATTATTTAACAAAATTTGTTAGAGATAAGATCTCTTGTCCATTGCCCAGGCGGGAGTGTAGTGGCGCAATCATAACACACTGCAGCCTTGAACTACTGGGCTCAATCAATCACCTTGCCTCAGCCTCCCTAGTAGCTGGGACTGTCCGCCCATGCCTGGATCATTTTTTATTTTTTGTAGAGACAAGATCTTACTATGTTGCCCAGGCTGGTCTCAAACTCCTGGCCTCAAGCAATCCTCCTGCCTGGCCTCCCAAAGTGCTGGGATTACAGGCTTGAGCTACCACACCCTGTCATGACTCTTAATTCTGCATTTTTGTCAGATATTACAAGTGATCCTTAGGTACTGTAAAGCCATTAAAATTAAATTATTTAAAATTAAACTATTTTAATATATTTTATTGCCTCATTAGACTCAGAAACAATTAAA